ATTAAAAGGTTTAAAGCACACATAATACTCTGGATGTGTTTTTATAATTTTCAGTTTTGAAGATCAGTTTTGACAGTGTAGAATTATTGAGAAAATGGGTAATTCTAATTTTCACTAGAACTTTACTGCTTTTTATTTTGGTTTTATTTATTTCAGTTTTATCATCACTAGTTTTAGATTTTTTTTTATTAAATGTGGTGATGCTGAAATTACACACTAAATGTTTTTGCAATCACAAATTCATGTTATTTTTATTTTATTTATTTCTGTTTCACACAGTAATTTCCTTAACATTTAAAGTTTAGTTTGTATAGTTTGTAAACAGTAAAGCATTGCGCTTGCAACACCAAGGTCATGGGTTCAATTTCCAGGGAATGCATGAACTGATAATGCATAGTGTGAATGCAATGTAAGTTATTTTGGATAAAAGCATAAAAAAACAGGAATTTAAAGTTTACATTTTTATTCATATTTCAGTGCACATTTATATTTTCTATTTAGTTTGTTTAAGAGTTAAGAGTTTGTTTGTTTTTTAAAGTTTTTTTTGTTTTGTTTCCATAATAGTTTTAATAGACAAACCTTTCCAAATCCACTGAGTGTACCTGTGACTGAATGTCTGGCCGTGTCTGTGTCATCAGGGCATTTCAGAAATACCCACAGCTCCTTTGGGACATGTTTTGTGGCTGCCACACATGATGTTGGAGCTGCTGGGCACATTTCTGGCCTCCTGATGAGACTCCAGAGAGTGTTTCGCTCTAAATGCAGTTTAAATGCGTTTTTATGACCAGTTTATATTTAGGACCAAGTTAAGCAGTAATCTCTTAAAATTCCCCGCATTATATACAGATCTGCTCCTCCTGCGTGTGACGGTTTGATTTGTCCCGGGTGAAAAGTAACAAGATTCTTGGGAAACCTCTTTAAACTGGTTCAGAATGAGTCCGTTTAGAGCGACTCACAGCAGGTTTGTTTCAGGTTTATTCAGTGCAGTTAAGAGCCGGACATGTCGGCCAAGACAGCATGCTGGCCAGTACAGTCTGTCAAACCGCCTGCTTTTTATGGGAGGAAATGGACTGGATGAATGAGCATCAGTCTGAGAAACACAAGCACACATGACACATATCAACCACTTTCTTTCTTGCTTGCTTGCTTTCTTGCTCTTTTCCCATTTTGTGGACATTATTTTGTATTACTATAGTAAAACGTATATACATGCTGTATAAGTTTGATCAAAAATACAGTAAAAACAACAAAAAAAACTTCAATATTACAATTTAAAATAACTGTTTTCTATTTG